TATGCAGGGTTTGTGTGTTAAAAATGTGTGAAAAAAACAAAACACAACTCCAGGTATGTTTGTGATGAGGAAACAACATTATAACATAGATTAGAAAACAGCATAATATGGGCCCTTTAAGTTGCATTTCGCTGTGTCACTCATTTTCAGTTTTCCACCAATCCATCCCACAATAACTCAGGCATACTCTTTCTCCTGCAGCGTTTGTTCTTTGCTTGAGTCTTGAGTGACTTTGCAGTGGCTCTGTGTCACGGGGTCGGGGAGTTAGCGCGGTGCCTCAGATGGCTCAGACTCTTGTTTAAATGTCAAAGATGGTCAAACACGAAACGCCCCAGAGGCAGCTGTGGGCCACCTGTCCGTCATGTCAGCACCATCCCGCAAAACTCAACATGACGTTTAGCCCGTGCACCGTTTGGGAGAGTGGCGGGAGGCGGCGCTATGATCTGATTGGCTCTGATGGGTCATTGGCGGCGCTTTGATTGGGGTAGACAGTGGGCAATGACTTCTTGAGGTGAGGGGTGTCGAAACTTAAGTCTGACAAAACTGCTGCTGACATGGACATGAGATGGCTAAAGTACAATTAGTATATAATTTATTTATTTAGTTGCTATTTTTATTCTATTTGTTTTTCTCTTTCTTCATCATATTTTCATTTTTCTTTTCTGCTGCAGTGAGCCTCATCATTGTGTTTTGGTGTTTTTCTTTTGCTGTTTTGTCCATTATAAAAATTATAATCATAATATAGAGCCTGCTCCAAATTTGCCCCCGTAATCCCTGTAACTGAACCATCTGGGTGAAGCTGAACGCTATGAGTGACTTGGTCCACTTTAGAGTCCTGCACCAAGTCGGGTACTCGCAAATAGTTGCTGAAATGACCGGGTTTTAACGTTCTGAAATTTTACAGGCGGGTATGCGGGCGGGTTACACATGGGCGGGTTAGGTGAATCAAATGAACGACGAACAGGAGAAAAATACCTGACGCACGTCCAGGACTTCTGTTGCCCTGGAAACAAGTGCCATTTTCCGGTCTTTTCCTGGAACGACCAGGCTGAGAAGAGTGACTTTAGTGTATTTATTACACATCAGAGGAGGTGATCGTCTCGGTGGCTGCGCTCCTGGTTTAGTCCTGGTTTAGACCTGGTTTAGTTTTAGTCCTGGCAATCGGCTCTGCGGTTGCAGCGTGTATATATTTATAATCTGCTAATGACACAACGTAGTATCAGTCCTGGTTTAGTCCTGGACTACTGGGCTGGCGGACTAATGGGCGGATCCCAATTTATCACAGGCACGGGTGGGTAACGGGTGTAATGGTAACAGGTCTGGGCAGATGTGGATTTAAGATATAATCACAGGTTAATGGGCGGGTGTGGTGCTGTAGATGCAGGTCTCCAAAAATGGACTCGTGCAGGACTCTGGTCCACTTCGTTATACAGTCTATGGGTTAGATACTTAAAGCCAGAGTATCAGTCTTGGTATCGGAACTGAATAAGATGGATCGGGCATCCCTAATCTTTCCTTTTTGTAAATGAACATGAATAATGTCAAAAATTAATATTACTACTTCTAGGACTCCTCTAACTGCCAAGGCTTTCTCCACACCAAAACCCTTGCTTATGAAATACTGTGTCCTGAGTAAACATTTGAAAATGACCACGTTAATGCTGTACTATGTAGCTTTTCCATTTACTGGTCTCCATGGAGATGTTATTGCTTTGCTTGGAATGTTCAATAGTATGACATTAAGCTTATCTAGCTTGCATAATTTCAATTACAGGTGTTTTATTGGTCAAACATCACTTGGGAAACATGTCTTCTTACAGTTGGTGCGTTCGTCTCTCTGCAGATTTTACCTGTATCTTTGCCTTATGTGTCACATTCTCATCTGACTGGAGAAATATAAGTTTAATACCATACTTTGGAACATCCCAAGCAAAAAAATATAATATCTCAGTGGAAACAATCAGAAAAGTTACACAGTGCACCATTAAAAGAAGTTCGGAGTCATGATAATAGGCAAATTAATGAGCATTTAAAAAAACATTCTACACACAAAAATACCTGCACGCTTAAATGGACCGGTACATTTTGTGGTGTCAAAAGCTGCATTTGAGTTCTTTGTTTGTCTCCATTTTCCCAGAACTTCAGGGCAACATTTGATTCATTCACTAAACCTGATGTGTGACTGTCCTTGACAAAAAACTGCGCCGCTAAATATGAAAGGTCAAATGGTAGAAAGAAATGAGAGATTTCTTAGAGTGAATTGGTATCTGAGAGATTAAAAAGTGATGTACAATGGGACTTTTACAGGAATTTAGTCATTACTCTACATGAATGAGCAAGAAATGTATTATAAAAACACATAATACTGGAAAAACCTTGACCAGACTGGAATGCCACAGCCTTGAAGTTGAAGTAAATATTGTTGATTGACAGCCAAGATGACCTGGGGAGTCATGTTTTTCATTCAGCACTGGTTCAGCCAAAGAGATACGGCAAAACCTATGGCCATAAGTCCTCCTGATGTACTGTCACATATGTTTGGAAGTGAACGTAATAGAAAATGTCAACAACAGACAGCAGTGTTCTTTTAGCTGCACCATGGGACCTTTTAGAAACAACACTGCAGTAAATAAATAGTAATTCGAAGATATAAATGTGTTCTATACTACTATATTCTCCTGCACTGACAAACTTAATCATTTTAATACAGCAGCTGTTTTTTCAATGTAGTCAAGGTCAGTTGTACTAGTGTTGTCACAATACTAAAATTTCAAACTCTCTTTCGATACTAAGGAAATAAACATGATAATGATTTTGATCCCACAGAGATTTTAGCCACATTAGAATGTTGTTGCCTCCAAAAAATATATCTGGAGTTGTGTTTTGTTACTAGGGATGTAAAAATAACCATAATATCATGATATCGTATCGTCAAAATTCTCACAATAATATTGTAGACCGTCACAATACATCGAATTACAAGTTCCTTTGCTTAAATGCATGGTTTTATAGTAGCAACAGCTTATGAACATGGGAACTACATATCCCATGATTCATTTCAGCGCAAACAACATGAAGAGATATGTTTTTTACTTGAATTCTTGGGATCATGATGTAAATAACCAAAATACACCAAAATCTTATCAAGGTATTTTAAAAGCAAAAAAGTGTCCTATCTACAATTATATTAGCCTCTCCAAAATATTGCAATAAATATCATACCGTGAGATTTGGATATCATTACATCCCTATTTGCTACATTCACACATGTTTGAGTATTATTATTACTCTGTCAACATCTCCAAAGCTCAGAATGCTCTGTTCCACCTTGTGATGTCATGAAGCAGTAGTTTTCAACTTAACAGCTATCTTTAACCTTTTGTTCAGTAGTGATTGGTAATTCTAGGGATGAAATTATCCAAGTGATTCTAGTGAAGGTGTATGGAGTTTAAAAACACAGTGGAGTCATTCCTGTATCACCACATGAGATCACAATGTGGAACTGTTTGTTTTCCATTTGAGAGAAGCACCTAAATGTGCACAACTTGAGTGTATGAAACAAAATACAACCCCAGGTATGTTAACACAGATCAGAAAATAGCGTAATATGGGCCCTTTAATAACTAACTGTGGTGTTGCCAAGTCTACTATTCAAAATGTCCAGATTTGTCCAATTAATTTGATTATTTTCAGTCTCAAATACTTGTTCAAATGAGCATGTAGTTTTGATGCTAGTCTGAGTATCAATTTGTATCTGCATATCGATTTTTTGACAACCCTAGAATATGAAATGCCTTTTTCGCAGCATTTTAAGTTCTCATACAGAGATATTAAAATCTAATATTATCCATTACATATTTATTTATTTTTATGTAAGTAATGAATGTGAATGACTTTGTGAATGAAGTCTGCGTGACAGTGTGTGGGGCTGTACAGAGCTCGACCTGTTGCAGTGTTTGGAGCTCACAGCTGCGCCCCACTGAACGCTCCCTCACTCAGACTGACCCAAATGTTAAACGCTCACAGACCAGAGAAGAACCAGCCCAGATCTCACAGCTCTGCACCTGCTCTAGTCTGGGTGGATGCACAGGTTACATTAGGTTTGAAAGTGTGGATCAGATAACTTTATTCTTGTCAATATTATTACAATACTATTTAAAGGGTATCTGACCAAAGGACATGATTCTTTATGAAGATCTATTGACAGTATACAAAACAAACATGACTACTATATCTTGAAGAATTTGTCTGGTCATAACAGCCGTCAGTCATCTCTTATAGCAATATAAAAGGAACAGTATGAATGACTTTAATTTTAAATTCCATAAGCATAACCTAACTATGTCCCCATAAGAGTTAGACATGTTTAAATCAAATACAGCTCTTACTGATAACAATTCTAATGCTGATTTATTCCAAGATGTTTATGTTATAATTTGGTGTTTCGCTCCTCACGATGATTATCCAATCAGAAAGCAGAATGAGCCTCAGTAGTCTCTAATTTGGGTTGCAAATTCCAACTGTGAAATCCAGTTGCTTTAAACCTAAAAGGCCCCTCTCTGATCTGAATCCTCAGGACCTAAAGCACCAGCAGCCAATCATTAAGCAGTGCTAGTGCAGCCTGTCCTTATACACATATCATTTTGTAACAGGCTATGAAAGGATTGGTCATAGCATTTGTCAGTGCTCAATGTCACTTACCAAAGTTTTATTCATTCACTTTTCAGTCACATTTAAGACGGTGAGCTATTCTTGTCACCACAGTTGCCCAGTTGGGACAGACTGACAGAGATGTGGCTTCTATTATGCATCAACAGCATTTATAACCAGCAATACTCTATCACATACATATACTTTACTGTCAATGTCCTTAAAGAAAACAAGATGTTTTACCCAATCAATCAAAGTCAAGTATAATTTGAACCACAAGGAATGCGGCAAACAGAAAGAAAACTAACCAAAGCTAATATCCTCTTTTACATCAGGATGTGTATTCTCACCTCTCTCTGTTGAACTTGAGTGAATGCAGCACGGCTGGTCTCTTCTGCCTCAGGTTCCACAAGTGGACACTGTCATCTGCCAAAGCACTCACCAGCGCCCCCTGCAGACACAAACAGCTCACGTTCACAGTGACATTTACATATCCCGTATAGATAAGTGACATTTAGTCTAACTTGTGCAGATTTTCTGGTTAAACATGACAGCGTGAGTCAGACATCTTTCCCTGGAAACTGTTTGGATGGAGCGGCTCTCTCCCAGGTAACCGCGGCGATGATTCAGAAGGACGACATATATGTGCATATTGTGTGAGTGTGTGGGAGGGTCTAAAACTATCGCCTGCTCCCTGAGGGTCTGTGCTGACTCATATATAGGCATGAACAGACAGTCGCACATGGATAAGCATCAAGTCCCCATGACAACTTCAGCTGTTTTTTCTCTTCAGTCTGCCATCATCTATAAGCTACAGTAACCACAACGTCACCTCCCATCACATGTGTGGTGATGTGGAGGATTCTGAAGTGAACGAAGCAATGATTTAAGAGAAGATCATATATATGATCCCACAAGGGGATGTTTGTTTTGGGCACAAGTGCAAGGTGCATAGACATCGACTAGACAGATACAGGACACAGAATAGAATCAAACTAGAAACTAAGGCATTGCAGTCACTTGTACAATTTGTGAGTATTTTAGCACACAGAGTTACTGAATAATATTTTAATGATATATATATATTATATATCATGCTTTATAGATGATACATTTATCTACCTACCTTTATCCTAGTTTTTCTCTTAAGAGCAACCATCAGTAAATCTACTTTACACCAGACAGATCTGTGTAGCACTCTGAACTGAGTTCTTCACATTTATCAATCTCAAAATGGCTCTTGCTGAAAGCGATTGGAATCTGATTGGTGGCAGCTTCACAACAGCGGAACAAGCTGAAAAGTCAAACCTTTGGTACATCCAGTTCAAGGCATGTTTCCTGTCCATAAATGTACAGATTTTTTTTATATTTATTTGAATGTATTTTAATAACTATACTACAAACATGTAAAACACCCGCAGCAAAGTGCATTGGTTTTTGAGCTGCACAATGAAGTCATGTTACTTATTTTCTCAACTATAATTCCCTAACATCTCTTGTCTCCACTCCTTCACTGTGCTGTTTTGCACTAAAGCCCCCTCTCCCCCCTCTTTCCCCCCTCTTCTCTTCAGTGTTTTGTGCTGAGCGTGTGAGTTTGCTGTAGCAGTTGTGGGACCCACCTCATTGATGAGAAACTGCAGCTGGATGACCGCTGCGCCGCTCTCGTGCTGGCAATAACACTCCACCCCAGGACGTCCAAATCTGAGACAGGTCCAGTCAAGGAACTCAACATATTCAAATCTACAATTACTTTACATACATCGTACATAAATATAAAATACATGCATTTAGATTTTGTTTATGCAGCGTAAGAAATACTTAGTTTGAGAAGTATTTGTGCTGACTAGTGCGATGGGCGCTTCAGTAGTGAGAGACCTAAACTGCACTTTGAAATAGTTTGCTAAGTCATCTACATTAAAGCAGTAATCTACTCTTCTTAAATGCAATTTCTGCAACTGACAAATCAGGCTGGTTATGGGGTGATACAAGGACACATGCTCTACTCTTAAAGTCGCACTACGTAACTTTTTGGGTGGCACACTATGGCATTAAATATCTCTATTTAGAATACATGAAGACAAGTTGTTAAAACATTAATATCACCAAGTCAAGTTACAAATCAAATCTGTGGAGAGGCAACATGTTTTTGAGACATTTGTCCAGCAGAAAAAGACAAACAAGTCGGAAGAGTAAAAACAAGTGAATAAATGGAGGATGGCTTATTTTAATGCCCTAATGCGGAACATTCTAGACACTATTATTAATATTATTAATACTATTAAATGAATTATTATTAAATTAATTTATTATTTATTTATTTATTTAAATTTATTTAAATTAATGCAGTGGACCCAGCCATTAATATTACTCATCATAGTTTGCCCACCTTTTTTAGCATAAACAATACTTCAGTTTTGTTTCTTTTGTGTGTGTGTGTGTGTATGTTTATGGTCTGTCTTTAACATATATACACATCTATACATGGCAGAGCTGAAGCCTGACCGCTACTGCCCAGATGCATGAATCATGTGAAGAGGAATTGTTCTATGGCCGACTATAATCATAGCCTCTCTCTTATTATGATCTTTATGCCTATGAATAAACCAGTGATGGGCCATTTATAAGCACTGGGGGCAGTGCTGGAGCAGGCTATGACTCAAATATTAGGCAAGGTTTATGCAGCATTAAGAGGTCATACTGCCGTTCAGGCAGGTACTATGGCTGTCTCGAGGTTCCCTAAGGCCATAAGAGTCCAGTAAATGGTGTATTTATACATATGCTCAGCTTCAGCAGGGATGAGATGCTCAAATCTACTGTATATTCTAGTATTCTTTCAAAATTATGTTACACGAGTGGCTGTAACAGAGTAAGGTAGATTTAGTCAAGTAAAAATTCTGACACTGCAATGAATACTTTTACAACTGTAGAATTACTGCTACAGCCCTTATGATGACTTCTGCTATGAGAAATACATAAATAATAAGGTACACATAAAATACAGTCTTATTTGTGCCTTTTGAGCATTCATTGAAGCGATGAATAAATCCTTAAATAAAAACAAAACAAGATGTTTTCAAATTTGCCTGGTAATGGAAAATACAAATGAGGTCAAAAAGGGGCTGGGCAATATATCCAAAACAATTATCATTTTTGTCCTCATATTGAGTAATCAAAATTTTAATTTCAATTTCAGTCTTGTTAAAAATAAATAAAAATGTATTTCAATATTCATTTCCTGAAAACAAACAATACAGACTTTTAATTAATGCCATTTAATTAAAAAAGTTCAAATTCTTTCTCTGAGGATTAAACTGTTTTACTGACAGAGGATTAAAAAGACCCAAACACATCACTAATGCTTAAAGGGCCCAGATTATTTTCTGGTCTAGGTTATAATGTTGTTTCCTCATTAAAACCTTACCTGGAGCTGTGTTTTGCTCCACTGTGTTTTTAAACCCTATAAACAATCACTAGAATAATTTGGATGATTTCAGACCTGGAAATGCCAATCTCTACTGAACTAAAGGTAAAAGGTAGGTGTTGACATCACAAGGTGGAACAGAACATTTTGATCTTTGGGGATATAGATAGACTAATAATCAAGGATTACTCAAACCACTGGGAGAGTTAGCAATTTGGGGGCCCTAGGCGAACTTGAGTTTGGGGCCCTTACTATAATGCACAGTTTGTTTGTTTGTTTAAATATATTTATTGTCTGTTTTTCCTCATTGTTCTTGAGACATGCACATCTCTATTTATTTGAATTATGGTGGATTGGAAACTTGTCTTATTAGTTAGGTAGCCCACTAGATAACCAGAGCTGGAAGTAGTTTTATTTTCTTTGCTAGTACAATTACATTTTTGTTTACATCCACTACATATTATTATTATTTTTAGTATGATTATTGTTTAAAAGTAAACTGCTCTCATTTACTGTCATATTGAGAGAAACTCAAATTGCTCTGAGGCCTCAGCTATTAGGGGCACTTAAGGCAATTGTTTGGGGGCCCTAGGCAGCCGCCTACTTTTACCTAATGGTAGCGCCACCTCTGATTCAAACATGCGCGAATGAAACAAAACACAACTCCCGGTATATTCTTGATGAGGTAACAACATTCAAACACAAGAGTCAATTTTGTGTAATATAGGACCTTTAAGTTAGCTGTATCTCAATCCCCATTCAAATTTGATTCAAAATCAAAAGTCAAAAGTATCTCTATAACAGACTGTAAAAACATAATTACACTCAAAATATTTTATTATATGTAATCTAGCACAAGTAGTGATAAAGCCACTACCGCTTTCCGACAAAAATGACTCTGCAGATCAGGGCTGAACACTTGAAAAGCAGATGGGTGAATAATAAAGGTGAAGGACATGACTGAAGACTGATCGATGACTGTGATAAAAGACGCACCGTATTAAAAACAGACACCAGACTTCCTGTTCAGGTTGAGAGAGAGACAACCTGCTGAAAGATTACATCCACTCAATGTACCCCTGCGACTCCATGAAGACCAAGGTGGAGGGCGGTCACTTAGCGGCTCCACATTGCTCATGATTAATAATGGCGAAATGAGGTCTCCAGCTGTTGCAATTTACCCATAGTAATGCCGTTCCTGCTACAACAGAATAGATTAGACATGCTGCGACTCAAATGCATGGTAATGGGTGGCTTTCGTCTGCATAGGTGCAAAAACAAAAGGTGGAAAACGTGAAAAAGGACGGAGCAAAAAGAGAGATTTAATTAAGCATAAAAAAACAAATGTTGCTAATGAAAAGAGCAGGACCAAGGCAGAGTCTAATTCAAACAGCGATAATCAGGTTCTCTGCCCGCGTTGTAACAAAGCGCCCCCTCAGCCGTTCAGACAGCAGCAGTTCGCTCATTAAGTGGCAACCTATGTAATCATTGGCATAGAGCAGGGAGGTCCAGGCAGCTAATAAAGAAGCCTGTGTGGCCATTTGAACACAGCCAATGACAAAAAATAACTTCACTTTTACAGTAATTTATTGTTGAGGTTTATTTCAGTTGATTTTGGACATAGGACCTAATTTCCTAGTTGGCCAGAGTGTTGTAGACGTGTGGAGACACTTTTTTAAATATTCCATTCAGTCCTTGTATTTGCAGAGGTCACTGGTGCTAGGCTAGCGCATGTCAATGGCCATAGTTAGCCTGACACTAAAGAGTCCCAAAGCAACTCTATTATTACACCAGGCTATTGATGTAAATGTTTCTTGAGGGACTATTTTCTCAGCAGCAGCAGAATTTTACTTTGCCAGTAAGGCAGGTGCTAGGTGATATCAGTCCGTCGCTGCCAAACTTTCTATCAGGACGTACAACTCACTACTGCTGCTCAGACATAAATCCTTCAAATGCAAGGTTGGTTTTACTTCTAAAATTATTCTATCAACACAGACATTTACATTGACAGTCTGGTGTAATAATAGATTTGCTTCGGGTGCTTTGTGGAGTGGGTAAGACTGTTTTTAGTGTCAGGCTAACTATGGCCATTGACATGCGCTAGCCTAGCACCAGCGACCTCTGCAAATACAAGGACTGGATGGAATATTTAAAAAGTGTCTCCACACGCCTCCAACACTCTGGCTCACAAGGAAATGAGATCCTATGTCCAAAATTCCAGACTGTCAGTTTAAGTGACTGTAAAATTACGCTATGCAGAGAAGCTTGAATCACTTTAGGAAAAATATGATGTATTTAAAATATATTCAATGGCCTATATGCATTGTGCTACTCTCTCATCTATGTTATAGTGTTGTGTCTTCATAAAAAACATACCTGGAGCTGTGTTTTGTTTCATTCACATATGTATAACTCACACATCTTGCATATTAAGGCCAGAAGTAGACACATCAGAGCGCAGGCTAGGGTCCATCCTTCCCCGACAGTCAAGGCAACTTCACCCAGGCTCAGTTCTTTTGTCAAACTAAAAACACTCTGTTCCACCTTGTGATGTCATGTGGTAATACACAAAGTGCTCCTACGTGTTTTTAAACTCCATACACTTTCACTAGAATAATTTTGATAATTCTGCCCTGGAATTGCCAATCTCTACTGAACAAAAGGTAAAAGGAGCTGTTAACTTGAAAACTACAGCTTCATGACATCACAAGGTGGAACAGAGTATTTTGTAGACAGACTAATAATAAAAGGATTACTCAAGCATGTACGAATGAAACGAAACAACCCAACAATACACACTTCATCCACCTTTTCTACTATGAATGCAGTGTATGAGTGATTGTTGATGGGCCAATGGTACGGATTGGCAGCCTCACTTCTGTTATCCTATCCCAGGGCATCTGTGGCTAAAACAGCACAGAGTATGGAGTGAATGGACTACGCGATATTAAGTCTAAGGCATTGTTGTTACCATTCATATGCAATGTAAAAACAGGTCAAACCCACATCATGTCTCAGCTTTAAATAACATGACGCTTTGAACCAATGAGAGCGCAGCGTGTCAGACAGCCCCGCCTCTCCTCTGTGTGTAAGCCGCTCTCAGTGCCTCAGGTGAATTGGGCTTAGCTTTTCCCTGACCGGACAGGCGATTACAGGACTACAGCTATCTGCCCCTCACGCCCCTGACCAGAGGATCCCAGCCAAGCCAGGCCCCGGGCAAGCTTTAAAGTCACCACGGCGACCATCATTAGCATCCTCCGTGTGACACCTGAGTCAGCAC